CTTAGCATTACGGGAAATATCTGCATCGTCAATAATAGGCTAGAACATTGACAACCAATCACTCCAACGAATTGGATCTCCATCAAAGGAATCAAGTTTCAACTTTGGTAATGAATCCATGGATGATCGTAAGATAATTGTGTTTGCTGGTGTTTCCACATGCAATCCTTCATTAGATGCTACTTCTTCGTGTTGAAACTTTACTTTTAGCTGCTGATGCTTGATTCCATGCTTTGGGGTTGAAGTTGACATATGAGCATCATCGGATGTCATGGGATTTTCAGGTACATGAACAGGTTTGACCTCTTTCGCAGTTTCTTCACGCGAACTAACGGGAACAGTCTCCTCATCTTCAGAATCTTTAAGTCTCTGTTGTTAGCTATCAGGACCATGAGCGTCATTTTCTAAAGCATCAGCTTCGACTTCTAAACGAATTGCTTCTGCTTCTATCTGTCTAGTTTTCTGAGCTTCTTCTGATCTTGAACGCTGCTTTTCGAGCTCAAGCTTTGCTTTCATTTTCACTTTCTCAGCTTCTTCTTTAGCTTTCCATAATTTCTTTTGAAGCTCTGCTTGACGTTCAAGTTCTTTTAACTTTTCTATAGCACTTTCTCTTTGCTTTTTGGCGAAGGCTTGGGAAGCTACTGCTCTCGCTTTAATCACTACGGGATCACTCTTACTGGAAACTTTGGATCTTTGACTGACTGAGGTTGCTTGAGAGGTGTCTTCGCTCTCGCGTTCGCTTAAATGAGATAATACGTCATCTAATGCGTCGTTGACTCGGCCAAACTCAACATCATACCACTCCAGTATTTTATCATGTTCAATCTCAGGCGTAAAGGCTAAATACTGTACATTTAGTAGCTCCGTCTCTTGCAAACATTGCTTCAAGTCAGCTACAATTCTTCGAATTCGGAATTTACTTCCAAACTGCCCTATTTCTGATGACAACGCTTTCAAGTGGATAGTAATCTTCCGCTTAACTACAGATCTCTTGTTTTTTAGTGTTACTGACTGTTCTGAGGCTATCTGTTGACTAACCTCCAGTTCCTTTGGTTCCAATACTTCTTCGGGATTTTCCATTCCATGTGCTTCCTCGCGATCGCCCAGATCGATCAAATTTTTGCCATTTTACTATTTCACCACATCGTGATTCCATCCGGCTCGAAGGACCATTAAAATTGTCACCTAAAGTGATCACCTCACTGACCAAACATTCTTTGATGTGTGAGAACTGTATTTTGATTCCAAACGAATCTTTGCATTAGACAAAAATGGCGACTAAAACCAAAACCAAAAAACAATAACAACACCACGAGGTCTCGAATTACGTCATTATCACATGATATCAATCATAGGTGCGTAAAGCGTACAAATTGATTTAAAACAATGTAGTTATAGTCGTCACATTTTCCTTGGCCCGCTCACTTTAAAAACCGCACTGTTGAGTGTGGGCCTTAAACAAGGTGGACCAAAAAAAAAAAAAAAACACACACAAATCGCTCAAGATTTAAAGAAGGCAGATCTGCTCTTATTTTCCAGGACAATTCAAATGACGCACTGCTGTAATACAAAGTAAGATTTAAAAAAAATTAAGAATATGATGTAGTTGTTGTTGTTTTATTTTTCTCGCTTTTGAGCCGGAATGGACAAGCCTATTGCAAATGCCTACCCAGTTTCTCAATAGAGCTTGTGCTTACGGCCATGCTGAATTTGTTGTTTCGTGCGAAGGTGATAGATAAGTTGCTTTGCCTGCTCAGAATAAATAGCTCAGTGTTCACAAGAAACTGATTTTAATCATTAGCTTAACGATAGAAGAGTGTAGGGCACCAAGTTTAACTGTAAGAGGTTAGGACATGTTTTAATCAACAATAATACGAGCCAGCTTTGAACACCTTGCAAGCAAACCTAATTTCTCTAAGGGTCGTTTTCTCTATGTTCACAGGTCGGAGCAACCAAAATTGTGTTCGCATATCACGACGATGATCCAGCCTCAGAATCGGATATAAAGTATCACACGTTCAGAGGAAGCACGACACTAATGCTTCTTAGCGGTATGGATAAAAGAAACATCAACGAAACAGGCTGGCTCTCCTTTCCTATTACTACTAAGAACGTAAGAAGTAATCACCTCTTGCATCACCTTCTCACTTTACGTCGAAGCCTGAATTCTTGATCACACTTTTTTACAGGAACGAAGAAACCGTGCTTCGTTTTCAACATGCACATGTGATCTCGCGGCTAAGCTGGTAGAAGTGCCAAACTAGTTACTTGAAGGCATGGGTTCGCATTCCGAAGAATTCTTATTTTCTGAGGCCTGTTTTCTGTAGTTTCTTTAATAGCAATTCATTCTCTTATACTAATGATTTGAGAACGTTTTTCACTGTGTTTACATGATTTAGGATTTTAAATCAAGCTTTCTGATTTTATTTTAAGGTTACAATCCTTACGAAGGAAACAACTTTCTGGTGCTCTCTGATAAAAGCTCCCGAACTGCAATCCAAACATCATATCACAAAGGTATTTACTTGTAATTACTCAGGAAAAATCGGATATTACTGCTCTTCAACTTCAGCTCGAAACTGAAAAATTAAAGAAATTAATCAGTCATAGCTATTGAAAAATATGAACAGTGCAACTGAACCACTTCTAAACATACGACTGATGAATTGCCCTGAATTGTCCCTGTCTGTCACTTTACTTTCTCTTGGTGTCGTACAATCCAAGCATAAGCACGTATTTCATATTAGATCAATCTCGCGTTGCACGCTCGTTCAGTTTGGATTAAACAGCCGCATTACTTCCTTAAATATATTCTAATCAGTGCGGCCTCCTTGCCTGGGAGTTCTTGTGCGTCAATTCATCTGTTGATTTTATTTTATAAATCATGACTACTATACGAATAGAGATTTGCTTGACCATATAAAAGTTAGGAAGAAGACATCTACCTTTAATTTCTTATCCCCACACACTAGTCACAATCATGAAAAAGTCTGGAACTTTTTATTTCCTTTTTTTTTTCAGGTCTAACCGCTTGTACAGAAAGGCAATAGAGGTTCTGTTCACCATCTTATTCTTTACGAATGCGAAGGAAACTATATTGAAAGTGATTATGATCAGGGCAAGGACCGTATGGACACAGCTAACATGCCGTATGCTAGATGCCGAGACGCCCGTCTCGTCGTTGCTTGGGCTGTAGGAGGAGAGATAAAAAATCAATTTCTTAGAAGCAGTCACTTCACGTGATTCCACAGTGATGCACTTCGCATCCTGCACTGCAAATAACATCACGTCATTAAGCAAATAAGTGCGCGTTCGTGTGCGTGCATTACGAGGGCATTGTTTTTTTCTTTTTAAATCAATGGATGAGGTAAATAGGTTCGATAGTCTTTTGCTCTGAAACAAAAAAGGTGATCTATCTTTTTTCATTATAAATTGGCCACTGTAAAGAGTTAAAAAGCTTTTTAACTCGTTTCGATGGCCAATTCACAATTTCGACCTAGTTGATATAACCAAATTACCTTGTTACCCCCACCGACGCAGCACCACAGTTTCCTCAGAAACTTTCACTCTTTATTCATCCATGTTATTTCATTACATAATCTTGCTATACATGTTATCCCCTTAAATAAAAAAGAGTGAAAAACTCGATGAGAAGTAAAAAAAAAATAAGAATAATAAATAAGTAGCTTAAAGCGTGCACAAAGGCCATTACTCGAATACACAAATTATGAACTTGAAACCAACGACTCGAGGAATGTTTTGAGTCGATTTCTGGTTTAAAGTGCATTAATTAAAAGAGCAAAATATTTGTGGACTGACGATCAACTCGTCGCATTGGAACCTTTTGCCACCCGTTTTTAATAGCTTTAGATGCAAACAAATCATATTTGTTTCCGCACTTAGCGGTCTCGAAAGTAGGCAAGCGGCCTCTTGTTATAAATGAGTCTAGTAATGACTTACAGTAAGTCACTAAAGAGTTTTCTGTCTTTTAGTGATAGAGCAGCGAAACGCGAAATCCGAAGACCTGTGCGTCGATATCTCGAACAATCCCTGCTCAGAATTTACCATGATCTTTCTATGTTCAGGAATTACTGTGTCATTTTACTCTATTTTTTTATTTCATACTTACTGTTCTTTTTTAACAGGCGTTTTATTGTCCTTTGCACGCGGGATTTCCTCTCGGCGCAGATGATTCGCCCAAGAATTTCCTGTTGGAAATGCATTATGACAATCCAAGCAATATACCAGGTATGATGTTTATAATTGTCTGAAACTTGCTTGATAAAGTGAGTCTCATTGAGGTATAAGTGAGTTTTGTTTTGATTCAGTGAATTCAAGAAGAATTTATTCAAATACGACTGCTTTTCCCTGGCATTTTGTGGTTTTGCCGCTGAGGAACACGTACTCTTTTTTTTTTTTTCCCATAGCAGCCATCCTAGATTTGTTATGTTTTGAGCTCGAAGTAAATTATTTTATTCGACGACTTCTTTCTGCTTATTCAACTGTTCTGGTATCGAGTACAGTGACTGAGTAAGAATGATCTGAAGTCAAATGTCACGGTAGCCAAATGCCTGTAAAAGGTGGCCTAAGCTAATAAAGCTGTCTCTTTTGACTAAATTGTTTTCTGGATACTGATGGGGTATTTTACCCGAGATACTAAATGTGGATCACACTTGAGAAGAAAGTTAGAGAGTCTAATTAAACATTGTGTCTTCAACGATAATTCCCCAGCGGCGAGAAGATTGAACCTCTTTCCTCGCGCATGGGTCTGTTTTCAACTGCTATTGATTTTCGTTTTAATATTCAATGTTTAAGGCCGAGTTGACAGTTCAGGTATTCGGATTTATTACACTGTCAAGCTTCGTAAGTACGACAGTGGAATTCTGTCAGTTGGAGTGAGAGTAAATAACTGGCATATCATACCTCCTAAACAGAAGGACTGGGTCAGCGTTGGATACTGCACAGCAGAATGCACTGAGGTATGGTGTAATCTTGCAGTG